CCATAATTTTTTTTATTTTTAAAACTTTTATTAAATGAAATTGTAAACTTTGTGTTCGAGGGTATTTTAGAAAGTTTATAGGACATGGAATTAAAAGATAAGTTCATTTTAGGGGCCACCATCATGACGTAGCGGCTTAAGCCACTGCCTGTGATACTGGCATCCCACGTGGGCCCTGGTTTGAGTTCTGGCTGCTCCACCTGTGACCCAGGTCCCTGCTAATGCACCTGGGAAAGCAACGGGAGATGGCCCAGGTGCTTGGGCATCCATATGGGAGACCTGGATGAAGCCCCTGGCTACTGGCTTTGGCCTAGCCTAGCCCTGGCTATTGTAACTGGTTGGGGAGTGAACCAGCGTTAGATTTCTCTTTCTGTCTCTCCCCCTCTCTCTAACTCTACCTTTCAAATAAATAACTAAATCTTTTTTAAAAGATCATCTTTGGTGCAAAACATTTTGAAATCTATGGCCAATTTTTTATAATATAAATTTCCATTAGCTTTTTGAAGATCTGTCATATGCATGGATGTCAAAATATTTTTGCACCAGAATAAACTTATCTTTTGATTCTATTTTCTACAAACTTTTTAAAGTACTCTTTTTTTTTTTTTACTTTTTTCTTGTATAGTTTTAAATTAGAGTTTGTTGAAATAATTAGACATATAATATTTGGAAAGCCATGATGCTTTGGTTAGGTTTTCTTGTTTTAAAGAACTTCAAAATAAAAGACCACCCACTGGTGATGGTTTTACAACTCTGAATAAAATAAAACCCACTGAATATTGTGGAATGAATGGTGCAATATGTGAACTGTATCTCAATAAACCTGTTAGTTTTAAAATTTTCCATTGCAGAATATGTTTTCACTGGTACAAAATAATTTCATTTTATGTTCACAATTTACTTTTAAAAATTATTTGCCATAATAATCATTTAAAGTTTAGAAATAGATATGACTTAAAAATAATTTGTGTTCAAATTCCATAATAATAGATGTTTTTATAGAAACTTCTGAAACCATAGGAAAGATAAAGGAAATTTAAATGTGTAGGTTTTATATTTTTAAATTACTTTTAAAAATATTTATTTGAGAGAGAGCATTACAGATGGTGAGAGGGAGAGACAGAGAGAAAAGTCATCTATCCGCTGGTTCACTTCCCCAGATAGCCACAATGGTCAGAGCTGAGCCGATCCAAAGCCAGCAGTCAGGAGCTTCTTCTGGGTCTCCTACATGGGTGCGGGGGCCCAAGCATTTAGGCCATCTTCTGCTGCTTTCCCAGGCCGTAGCAGAGAGCTGGATTGGAAGAGGAGCAGCCGGGACACAAACCAGTGCCCTTTTGGGATACCTGTGCTACACGCAGAGAATTAACATACTGCACCACAGCCTTGGCCCCGGGTGTAGGTTTTAATATTCACTTTTACCATGTTTTTTATTCCTAATCTTTTTTTCTATAATCACTTGACTACTTCCTTTGTATCCATACCTGTTCTGCTGAATTTCAGTAGCTTTTCATGATCAGTTTAGGAGAACAATCAGATATAAGTTTTTTTTGTAGTTTAGTAAATGCATTGGCTGTCTTCTGCACTATCAGAAGTACACATGAAGGGGAGCATAGCATCATTATATAAAAATGAATACAATGAAGATATTGCCTGTTAGTTTTGAAAATACAGTTTGCTATTACAGAATTATAAAATTTTACTTTAAATCAGTTCATATTTAAAATGAAAACTGGAGTCTTTGATAAATAGTATTGTGACACTGGTTCTTATGTAGGTAGAATATTTTTCCATCTTTTAAAAGAAGCTTGTTATCATATTTAGCATTAATTTTCTAAGAGCTAAAATTGTTCACAACACTGTTTAAAGATAAATTCAGTATCAGGCTTTGAATTTATTATTATTTTTTTGGTAAATATTAAGACCCAAGTACAAAATTAGGGCTGTATTGTGGATTAAGTGAAGTATCTCAAGGCTGTGCTGTTCTGATAACTGAACCCGAAGTGACCTTTCTCAGACACAATTACAGAGCTGTATGTTTTTCCTTTAATTTCATCAGGGGTTTAATTAGTATACAAATAAAACTTCCCTTATCTTCCTTTCTACCTAATTGGCTTGTCTTCGCTTATATATGAAGTATGTGAAAGTGGGCTGTAATTAGGGTGACCGTGTTAACCTTTTTTCCTCAAATGTACTGTTGCCTAAAGGCCTCAAGGCCTAAAAACAGTGCTTTGGATTATTGCTTTGCAATCACTATGGCTGTCCCACAGGTTTTCTCATGAGCAGAAGGGCTTTGGGTGCTGCAGGTTCCCACTGCTTAACAGGATCTTCATTCTTCTCCCCACTAAATGTTTATTGATTATCTCGCTGTTCCAGGCTCAGCCTCCAACAACTTAATATCAGGTGACAGTCAGGAGAGTTCTCCAAGTAATTAGAGTTGAGCATTGGGGGAACAATTAGGAGCAGAGTTATTAAACTTGATTTATCCTATTCTCTCCTGAACAGTTTCTTGGATATCAGAACATCACACTTTCACAATCTACCCTGGTTGAGAAATTAGTGGCTAACCTGCTGCTTATCATTGTTGCCTTGCTGCCTAAAGGCACACCAAGACTCTGGGTCTCAGTCATTCACTTGAAAAATATTGGAGTCCATCAAGTTTATCATGGGTTTTAATTAGATCAATCTGAGGAAAGAAAAGCTGAACTTAAAAATTTATATATGACATATATTATATATGATACAGATAAATATGTAAACACGATACACACATATTTTTCTTTAAAGCTTAGTGTTAGAATTTTTGAAGATTCTACTTTTGTACTCAAAGGTGATTATTAGTGATAAAATATTCTCAAATCACATTTTGTATCTTGGTGTTTTGTATATACCCCTATGAACCTTAGGAAACACTGAAGTTTATGCCCCTCAGGTTTTAAAATGAATATTCTCTCATAAATTAAATAATTATACTCTTTCTCCCCATGCTATACTATCTCTTAATTTTCATACTCCAGGAAATATGATTTATTTCATTTTGTTCACTCTACTTTTTGTTCCTTTTCTATGTTCCTGAAATAGTGTTACCTTTAGAAGAATTTGATGGCTCCCTGACTTGCTCCTAAGAGTTGAAATTAAAGGAGGAAAACAAGCTTTAGATATATAGTAGAAATTCTAATCAAAGAGCTATATTTTATTTGAAATTATATCATAGGATTGCTGAAAGGTCAGATGTGGTTTTATAATGATCTAAAGGCAAAGGTTCTTTCAGAGCGGACCAATGAGCTTCAGTCCCCTTACAGAGATGCACACCTTGTCATTAAGAATTACTGAGCAAGAGAATTTGAATGGATTGGCACAACTGTATTATTTCTGTTCAAAAAGGAATTCAGGCTTTATGCATAACTGGTGGTAGATCATTAGTTTTATTCTCATGTCTGAAAAAAGCATTTTTTATTGCCAGAAAGATGTCAGAAATACTTTAAAAAGACTCAAAAATTTTTTAAATGAAGAAATTAGTGCATTTAAATATCTTAGTTAATACTGGCACAAAACTAGTTGGTTTATTATGTATTTAAGAAATCTGTTCTTTGTCATGTTTTAAAAGTTGATTTGAATCAATGATTGTTTCCATAGTGAAATTTCTTGAAGTTATGCCAATACTAAAGATTTAAAATAAATAATAAATAATCGCAGCTTGCCTATGTTTAATTTTTTGACATGTATTTGATAGCACCTTAACTGTTTGAAAAGTGAATAATTGAATTTAAAAACTTTTAACATTTTAAAATACCTGGTTTGGATGATTACTTTCAATTCATCAGCATTTAGAGTAAATTGACTGTTTTAGTTGCACGTAGGCATCTCAAGTTTTTTTTTCTTAATACAACTTGTGAAGCATTAAAAGATGACTGTTGGAAGAGTTTTATGCATGAAATTATAGCATTTTGCTTATATGCTACTGAAATTTTGAAGGACAATAGTGGTTGTTCTGAGCAGAAAGAAAAAATTATGGATATACAGTGGATTATTTAAACTCACTGTCCAACAGATACAATAAAAGCTGTTTGAAAATGTTATTTTAGAAATTTTGTGGGCAAAAGAATGAATGGTTTTGTTTGTTCTATGATATCCTCTTATCCCTATACAATTTTGCATCCTGATATTTTAAATGAGGTCTAGAAAACACTCCATTACATTGTGAATATCTGATTCTAAGACCTTCAACATAAACTTTGAAGATAAAATTATACAATTACATTTTGAAATTTTTCCTGAGTATTTCAGATGAAAACAAATAGCAGATATCAGTGAACATATTTCATAATTTTTGACAAGAAAAATATTTGTGGAACATGAATAATTCTGAATCAAGTGCTTTCTATAACTTTGTCTATTAGTTGAAACATACTGATCACATCTGTGTTGCTATCCTTGACATGCAAGTTATTTTCTGGGAAGCAAGTGGATTTTACTTTGCAATCCAGTTTATTTGTTCACTGAGATATCAGTAGCAATCTAACTATTACAGATATATGTATAAAGAAAACAGTGGCACTTTTAAATCTCTTGTAGGTAACCTAGTCCTGGTACACACTATTGGCTTATGATAGTTCCTTAACTCTAGTTCTGTTCACAGTTAAACAGGCTAACAATTTGATGTTTTCTTCTCTAAAATCTTTATTTTCTCATTATCGAAAAAAAAATAACCTGAGATTTCTAAAATCAGACATTTCTAGTAAAATGTGATTTATTTGCCATGAAATATTTTAAAAAATAACAGTTGTATTTTGTAGCTAAATATTTCATAAATCTTACCAGTTTTATCATTTTTAATTATTAAATATGTAAAATTTTTTCAGAAAATGTGTTAAACCTTGATGTGTAATGACCCAAGTCTACTTCTCAGTCAGTCTGTATTCTTCTTTGTTTAATAGCCTATGGCATAAATTGAAGTTAATTATCAGGGCTGACAAGTAACTCTGTTTTCTGTCTGCTTGCAGAGTCTCTCCGAGGCAAAGATGGAGCTGAGAAGAAAAGATCAATCTCTGCGTCAGCTCAATAGACATCTTACCCAGCTGGAGCAGGACAAGCGTCGACTGGAGGAGAACATCCATGATGCAGAGAGTGCCCTCCGCATGGCAGCCAAGTGAGCGTTTGGACCTTGGGGAGATCACTTAAAACAGACAAAAGATCAATTCTTACTTTCATGCTCCGGGTTTTAGCCCTGGATAATACAGTGTTAGAAAACAAAAGTACAGCTGTCTTTCTTTGAAATTCTCTGTTATATCCTCAAAAGAAGAAAACTCTTAACTCAACATACTAAATGTATATTTTATTGAGAAGCCTCAGAAAAGTATAAACTTCCACATAACCTCTCATTGTATGCATTTTGAACTCTATTGTAGTGTTGCATGTTTGAAACCATGTTTTCATTAAATGTGAAGTTTAAGACTATTTACAAGTATTGCATGGTGTCTTCTGTAACATTCTTTTTCTGCCCCACCACTCCCAAATTTTGCTCTGCCTACATTATAATATACAAATATTGCTAGTAATATTTCCATAGGGAAATGTTGGTATACAATTAACATGTGAATAGTAACATTTAAAACACGCAGAAAAGCGTATTGATCATGGGAAATTCTTTCACTTTTATAGGTATATATTCTGAAGTGTTACATAAAAAATACATACAGTTCTCAGAGTGGATAACTACATAAATGTGATGGGAGCATTTTTTTACTTTTACCCAGTAATCAAGTTGACATACCCTGTGAAGTTCACGTTGAACAGTTCTCTTGGGCATTTTTATTTGTTCCCCACATTAAACTTCACAGAATAAGAGAGTCCTTTGTACAACAGCATGGCTTAAAGAATGCCTACTTAATGATTAAAGAAACATTTAATTTTAGTAAACTCAATGTTTTCTAAATATGGAAATTTAAATTCTTGTACTTGTGGAAAATAAAATATTAATTAAAATCATTTTGAGGCAAGCTTGTTAAGCATAAAATATTTTGAAATATGGATGTGATCTGTAAATCACAAAACAGGATGTCTGTGATCTTAGGACATCCATGAGCTTTGCCACTGGGTTGTGGCAATGCTCAAGCTTAATGAAAAGATGGATTGACATGAGGCCCAAATACTGGCATGTTTGCATAGCCACCAGTGATTATTTTGAAAGTTGTAAATACTTCTGTATTAAGTGAATGTAGTTTGTCAGTTTTTAAAATATAAATTTGACTAAATCCATTTTTGTTGCAAAAATTCAACAGTCTCAATTTCCTCATATCAAGTTAGAGGCTTAGCCTAGATAATTTTAGTCAGCATTCTCAGAAAACTCTGAGATGAATGAAACCAGAGTTAAAAAAAAACCTCTCAATACATATTGTGTTTTCAAATCAGAGCTGTTAATTCAGGAATTTTTTTTTTTTTTTTGACAGGCAGAGTGGACAGTGAGAGAGAGAGACAGAGAGAAAGGTCTTCCTTTGTCATTGGTTCACCCTCCAATGGCCTCCGCGGATGGCAGGAGCCAGGTATTTATCCTGGTCTCCCATAGGGTGCAGGGCCCAAGCACTTGGGCCATCCTCCACTGCACTCCCTGGCCACAGCAGAGAGCTGGACTGGAAGAGGGGCAACCGGGACAGAATCCGGCGCCCCAGCTGGGACTAGAACCCTGTGTGCTGGCGCCGCAAGGCGGAGGATTAGCCTAGTGAGCCGCAGCGCCGGCCAAATTCAGGAATTTGATGTGTCTATGATCTATGTCCATAGGCACATGTTCTTATAAAGTTAAAGCTAACTTGAAATTTGTAGAACTAATATATTATTTACAGTTTTCAATTAAGAGTATAACATTAAATTTTTGTCTTTAGCATTTTCACTCAAACTTTTTATATTATGAAGATTAAATTCAATATACAAGGCTGATGGAAGAAACTAGTAACTACTTATTCCTAGTTAATATATATTATGTGTATATATTATTGCAGAAAAGACTATAGAAAGAAAAATATTACTTTGCATCATAAAGCATTTATAATATACCCTCACCACTATGATTTTTTTAAAGACTTATTTTAGTTATAGGGCCAGTGCTGTGGCATGGAGTTAGGCTACCGCCTGTGGCACTGGAATCCCATATAGGTGCCAGTTTGGATCCTGTCTGCTCTACTTCTGATCCAGCTCCCTGCTGGTGTGCCTGGGAGAGCAGTGGAGGATGGCCCAGGTACATGAGACCCTGCACACATGTGGGAGACCCAGAAGAAGCTCCTGGCTTCAGACTGGCCCAGCCTTGGCCATTATGCCCATTTGGGGAGTGAACCAGCAGATAGAGGATCTCTCTGCTCCTCCCTTTCTCTGTGGTTCTGCCTTTGAAATAAATAAATGAATCTTAAAAAAAAAGAGAAATCAGTCTCAAAAATGAAAACAAAACAATAAAGATTAATTTTATTTATTTGGAAGACAGATTTGCAGAGAGAGAGACAGAGAGGTAGGGTTGGGAGAGAGATCTTCCAACCACTGGCTCACACCCCAAATGGCCTTAACAGTCAAGGCTGGGCCTGCTAAAGCCAAGAACTTCATCCTGGTCTCCTATATGGATACAGAGGCTTAAGTACCTGGGCCATCTTCCGCTGCTTTCCTGGGTGCATTAGCAGGAAGCTGGATTGGAACTGGAGCAGCCAGCCAAGACTTGAACCAGTGCCCAAATGAGATGCCAGTGTCACAGGCAGTGGTTTTACCAGCTATGCCACAATGCTGGTTCCCACAACTATGATATTAACTCTTTAACCTTTGTAAAACATTTTCTACTTTTAAAACTTCATATCACTTACCTCTACCTTCCCCCTGGTACCCCCCCCCCCCCAATTTAAGACAGGCAACATAATTGAAAATAGAGTCAAATGTGGAAATATACCAGTGAATATGGTTAGGTTTTATTTTTTTAAATGGAGAAAAATGATAGCCAACCCTTATTTTTCTATAGTAGTGATGTAGACTAAAATATTTAACAGTTTTAGAAAGGCTTAGATTTTACCAACACCTTATCTTTTTTTCAATTTTTTTCTAGAGACAAAGAATGTGTTGCCAATCACATGAGAACAGTAGAAAATATGCTTCATAAGGTATTATAATTTTTTAAAATACTGTTCAATTTCTCTTATGACACTTCTAGTTATTTTGGTTAACTGCAAAATAATTTAGTTTATAAATTTAAAAAATAAATGAACAAACTGTACTTTGCAGATAACTGAAAATTTTCTTCAGATAATGCTACAGTATATACATTTTTTTCAGAATTTACTTTAGGTACTTGATAAAAGCATGAAAACAGTGGTTTCCTCAAACTGGTAAAATTGTACTTGAATTATTTGTGGTCTTTGCTAAATGAACCAGAGGTCATTAAGAATCTCACATGTCTCATAATGATAAAATCTTTGACCACATTGTGTAACCTCTTACCACTCTTAAGCCAACTGTCTTATATAGAGAGACACAATGTATTTTAATTGGCAATAGTCATATACCTTAACTAGGCAATAATATTATTCAAATTGAAATTTGCCTTCTTATTTATAAGAATATGTTCTTAAAGTGTAAATTTAACATTTAATAATATTCTGTTTTTAAACTTATTTTTATGTGTGATAACTGTGACTTTTTTTTTTTTTTTTTTGACAGGCAGAGTGGACAGTGAGAGAGAGAGACAGAGAGAAAGGTCTTTCTTTGCCATTGGTTCACCCTCCGATGCCTGGCGCGGCGGCCGGCGCACTGCAGCCGGCGCACCACGCTGATCTGATGGCAGGAGCCAGGTACTTATCCTGGTCTCCCATGGGGTGCAGGGCCCAAGCACTTGGGCCATCCTCCACTGCACTCCCTGGCCACAGCAGAGAGCTGGCCTGGAAGAGGGGCAACCGGGACAGAATCCGGCGCCCCGTGACTTTTAATTTGTAGTGATAAGCAACATAAGGGTATTATTAGTGAAAATTTATTATTCAACTATAAATTTTTTAAATGTTTATTTATTTATTTGAAAGGCAGAGTTACAGAGAGGCAAAGAGAGAGAGAGAGAGAGAGGTATTCCATCTACTGGTTCACTCCCCAAATGGCCGCAGTGGCCGGAGCTAAGCCAATCTGAAGCCAGGAGCCTGGAGCTTCTTCTGGGTCTCCCACATGGGTTCAAGGGGCCCAAAGACTAGGGCCATCTTCTACTGCTTTCTCAGGCCATAGCAGAGAGCTGGAACAGAAGTGGAGCAGCCAGGACTCCAACTGGCTGGCTGGTGTGGGATGCCAGCACTGCAGAATGCAGCTTAATCTACTATGCCACAGCACTGGTCCTCAATTATACATTTTGTTACCACTCTATTCCAAATTCAAAGATGAATTAATTACTTCACCATTTAAAAGTAGAGAAATATGGCCGGTGCCGGGGCTCACTAGGCTAATCCTCCGCCTTGCGGCGCCGGCACACTGGATTCTAGTCCCGGTCAGGGTGCTGGATTCTGTCCCGGTTGCCCCTCTTCCAGGCCAGCTCTCTGCTGTGGCCAGGGAGTGCAGTGGAGGATGGCCCAAGTGCTTGGGCCCTGCACCCCATGGGAGACCAGGATAAGTACCTGGCTCCTGCCATTGGATCAGCGCGGTGCACTGGCTGCAGCGCAGCGGCCGCGGCGGCCATCGGAGGGTGAACCAATGGCAAAGAAAGACCTTTCTCTCTGTCTCTCTCTCTCTAACTGTCCACTGTGCCTGTAAAAAAAAAAAAGTATAGAAATGTTATTTATGTGTTTCTGTTATTGTATATCAGACAATTGGTTAGATAAGTAAAAATATAGTTCTTTTAAGATATGTATAATTTATTAATAAATCATACTTAGAATAATTTGGGGAATCAAATTTATTTTATAATATAATTTCATAACTTAAAATATCATAAAACTATTTCTTTTAAGGAGATATTAAATAACCTTTGCAAGCTAATATTTAATTCATTTTTAATATTTTGAAAACCCTAGACTTCTGTATTAATTTTTACTTTAAAAGTAACTAGCATTATTTCATATAACCAAAAGCATTTTGAAAAATAACCAATATTTTATTCTATTTATTTATTTATTTAGGCTCTTTTATTCTGTTTCTTTGAAACTACGATTTTTCCTCCTCCCAATTTATAGGGTTGGTCAATCATTTAAATATATTCACATCAAATCTATGTACTGCAGAGACATCTTTGATTAGATTTTTGCAGTTGGTAAAACATTGTAAGAGAACTCGGTTATATCAGAAACATGTATGTTTATGGTATACTTTTTTATACAGTTAATGTGTACTTTGATGTCAGGAAAAGCCATAATTAATATAAAATATTAATATTATACTTTCTCTTTTCCTTATGAAAATTGAGAAATAAATATTTTAAATCTAATAGAGACAGATTGCCTCGGTATGATTATAATGATAAAGTTATTCAGTAGTAGTTGTCTTTTGTTTTTCTTTTTTTTTCTTTAAAGATTTATTTATTTATTTGAAAGGCAGAGTTTCAGAGAGGCAGAGACAGAGAGAGAAAAAGGTCTTCCATCTGCTGGTTCACTCCCCCAAATGACTGCAATGGCTGGAGTTGGGCTAATCCAAAGCCTGGAATCTGGAGCTTCCTCCAGGTCTCCCACATGGGTGCAGGGGCCCAAGGACTTGGGCCATCCTCTACTGCTGTCCTAGGCCATAGCAGAGAGCTGAATCAGAAGAGGAGCAGCCTGGACTCAAACCGGCGCACATATGGGATGCTGGCACTGCAGGTGGCAGCTTCACGCACTATGCCACAGTGCAGCCCCTGTCTTTTATTTTTCAAGGCTTATGGAAAGAAAGATGTCTGTGAAATGGCCTATAACCACTGTAGGTTTTTCTTTACTTTTCTTCTTTCCTTCTCTCTCTCTTTTTTTTTTTTTTTTTTAGAGAGACTGTGAGAAAGCCAAAACCTCTATTTACTGGTTCACTTCACAGATGCCCACAACAACTGGTGGTTGTATGAGGCTGAACCTGAGGGCCAGGAATGCGATCCTTATCACCCTTGTGGCTGGCAAGAACTCAGTTACTGAATCCATCACTGCTGCCTCCCAGGGTCTGCATTCCCAGGGAGCTGGGATCAGGAGCTGAATCAAGGATTCGGCCCAGGTATTCTGGTGCGGGACGTAGGTGTCCCAGTTGGCCTGATCACTGTGAGGCCCGGTGCCTGTTCTGAGCTGTGGCAGTGTAGATTTACTTTTGCTTTATGACCTCTTTCCCCTTCAGATTTCATAGTTAATCATTTTTGTTACTTTCTGTGGAAATTTCTATTTATTTAGTGATTTTTAACCATGAAATGAAAATTTAGAAGAGGCTAATTGAGAGTTAGAGCTGATTCTCCTCTCTATACAGTATGAGTGAGAGTGAACGGATAAGTAAGAAAGTGACCCAGACTCTCTCCAAAATTCTCAGTGAGGTACAGTATGCATGTCTTCATGCTACAGTTTACAGAGTCATTCTTCTGGCTACACTGGACTTTTTAATAGGAATTTTGCTGTCTTGGAGAGACAAAAAGAGTACAGAAGGAGCATCCAAGCTGTTTCAAGGTCAGTAAAAATGACTGTGACTACTTTTTTTTTTTTTTAAGATTTATTTTATTTATTTGAAAGACAGAGTTGCAGAGAGAGGTAGAGACAGAGAGAGAGGTCTTCCATCTGCTGGTTCCCTCCCTAGATTGCCACAATGGCCGGAGCTGTGCCGATATGAAGCCAAGAGCAAGGAGCTTCTTCTGGGTCTCCCATGCGGGTGCAGGAGCCCAAGGACTTGGGCCATCCTCCACTGCTTTCCCAGGCCGTAGGAGAGAGCTGGATTGGAAGAGGAGCAGCCGGGACTAGAACCGGCGCCCATATGGAATGCTGGCACTTCAGGCCAGGGCTAAATTTAACCCACTGCACCACAGCACCAGCCTTATGTGGCTACTTTTAAACTCATCATCAAAGTTTACTGTGCATGTTCAAATAGTACAGCTATTTATGTTTCTTATTTCTTTAACACATGCCTTTTCATCATATATATTAGTTCTAAAAATAATTTTTGCCTGCTGACTTGAGTTTTGATATTAATTTCTGACACAACAAACAAAAGAACTTGTTTTCATGTACACATTACTTCTTTTCTTGCATTTTAAAGAATTTAAGTTGAAAATATTTGTTTTAAGAAAAGCAAATACATTTTATTGATACTAGTTAATTTTTAAAATTTGACACATTCCATTTAAGTGTTTAGTTCCTAGTACTAGCAGCTGACTAGATATTATTTTTGAAAAGCTTTTTTTTTTCCATTTTATTTGAAAGGCGGGAGAGAGAAAGCAAGAGTGAGAACACACTCACCAGACAACCAGAAAGAGATCTCTCATTCCCAAATGCTTACAATAGCTGAGGCTGGACCAGGGTGAAGCCAGGAGCCTAGATTTCCAACTAGGTAGGCCACATTGGTGGCAGGGACCCAAGTATTTGAGCTGCCATATGCTGCCTCCCAGAACACATTAGCAGGAAGCTGGATTCTAAGTGCAATAGCTTTGACTTCAAGCTGGCACTCCGAAATGGCAACTTCACCACTGCACCAAATGCCCACCACTAGGTATTATTATTCTCATTACTTTTTAAGATGTATTTATTTACTTGAGAGGCAGAGTTACAGATGGAAAGAGGAAGAGACACAGAGAGAGGTCTTCCATCCGCTAGTTCACTCCTCAAATGGCCGCAACAGCCAGAGCTGAACCAATCTGAAACCAGGAGCCAGGAGTGTCTTCTGGGTCTCCCAAATGGGTGCAGAAGCCCAAGCACTTGGGCTATCTTTCACTGCTTTCCCAGGCCATTAGCAGACAGCTGGATTGGAAGTGGAGTAGCAGGGACTCGAACCGGTGTCCAAATGGGATGCTGGTGCTGCAGGTGGATGCTTAACCTACTATGCCACAGTGCTGGTGCCATTTTTTGTACTTTAATGTTCATAGCAGCATTATTCAAGGTTTTGGTCAGATGGTAGAGATGGTGGGGGTATCTTTTTTTTTTTTTTTTTTTTTTTTTTTTTTTTTGACAGGCAGAGTGGACAGTTAGAGAGAGAGAGAAAGGTC